GTGAGAGGATGGGGGGGCTGTGAAGGGACATTGGCTGTGAGGGATGGGGATGCGGGTACTGTGAGGGGATGGAGGCTGTGAGGGGACCAGGGGCTGTGAAGGAATGGGGGCTGTGAGGGGAGGGGGGCTGTGAAGGGACATTGGCTGTGAGGGGTTGGAGGGTCTGTGAGGGGAGGGCATGGGGTCAATGAGAGGAGGGGGTCTGTGAGGGGATGGGGGCTATGAGGGGATGAGGGGTGATGTGTCAGCATGGAGGCTGTGAGGGGACATTGAGTTTGGGGGTGTGAGGAGATGGGGATGGGGGCTGTGAGGAGATGGAGGCTCCTGTAGGGGAACAGAAAAGCACTGTGAGGGGTAGAAGCTGCGAGGGGGGGAGGTGGAGGGGATATTGGGTGTGAGGGGACAGGGTGCTGTGAAGGGATGGGGTCAGTGGGGGGACAGGGAGGGCTGTGAGGGGATGGCAGTGAGGAGCTGCAGACACCGCTGTTCCTCCACATTGTTCCCACAGCCTTTCCCCTCTTATTTTGCATCTTAGGTGTTGATTTTAAAGTGAAGAAGATGGTGGTAGATGGCCACACGGTGCAGCTTGCAATATGGGTAGGTTTGGTTTGTTTGGGGCAGATGTGGGAATGGAGAGATCTCCTCTAGGGGCTGTGCAGCAAACGATCTGTGTGCTGTTTTGGACACACAGCGGATGCTTTATTTTGGTTGAAATGATGGGAAGAAAAATGCTATTATTTATGAACCGTGTGAAGGTTTTGCTGCATTTGCCAGGAAACTCGAGCAATTGCCTCAAACTTCTGGTGCTGTGCTTCCAGCATGTGGAAACTGGGAAATGGGAGTGCAGAGTGTGTTCAGGTTTACCTGTAATGTTATTAAAGCACTGAGTGTTTTCTCCTAAATGGACCATAAGCCCTTGAAGGGTTTTTTCAGGTGTAGGGGCGTATTTGAGAAACAAGACCCTATTCTGGATTAAGCTATTGGGACTACTGGATAGAAATGTGCCTAAGGCTGGTGGTAACACAGTGAATATTGGTGTCAGAACTCATGTTATTTCTTGGGTTTTCTTTATGGCTCTGTGTGTGGAAAGTGGAGTGGGACTGTTGAGGTTGCAGCTGTGTGTGTTGGCTGTGTTCTGAGCAGAGCCTTGCTGAGAGTAATGGGAAAACCTCATAATCACGCAGGGGTTTGCCTCCTTGCTGTGGAATGGAAACCTACACAGGTTGTGTAGCTGGAAAAGGTGCTTTGCAGCAATAACAGCCATCTGGAGAGGCTGCTAATGAGCTGGAAGGGAAAACTGGTGCTTGGAGGATGTTAAATAAAAGCTTCGATGTGTGTACCAAGCATCAAAGTGAAGGAGAGGCTTCGACTTTAGTATCTGTGTGTTCATTATAACCTCGTTAGTAAGCATAACCTGTACTAAGTGAATACACTGCAGGTCTAATAAAGTAGAAATAAATGATAACATAGCTGGTAGTCTGTCTATTACAATCTGCACATAAATCTAAACACTTCTTTGGTAATAATAATAAACGGTGTCACTTTTTTTTTAACCTTCTGATTGTTTGTTCTGTGTAGAGTGGAGTATTTGGAAGATTCATAGAGAGGGCGTGACACAACTTAGCAATAATTGAATAAAACTTCTTATTCTTATCGCTGTTTTATTGTTGTTTGTTGTTTCCCCCAAGGACACAGCGGGTCAAGAGCGCTTTAGGACACTGAATCCCAGTTATTACCGAGGAACTCAAGGGATTGTTTTAGGTAGGAGGAGTATGGGAGGGAAACGTGACTGCAGGAAGCGTGGTCTTACAATGGATACAATAATAAGACTGCAAAAGGGAACTGAGAAAATCAGGGGAACAGCTGATCAGTGTTTTGTTTCCCAGCGCTTTGAATCGTTAGCTCAAACTCTGAGTATGCAAAACTGCTGGTAGGAAATTCTGCTTCTTCAAAATGTTTTGCCTTTCCGCCAAGTCAGCCTGCAAATCATTGAGTGAATCGTCAGCTTTGTAATAACTGTTCTGGTTAGAAGGCAAATTGGGTTTTGCCTTTTGTTTCCCTTAGCGTTTTTACTGTTTATTTGTATTTATTTGTTGGTGATGATTGATGTCATTTGCTACGGAACACGAGATTTGCAGCACAAGGAATCCATGCTTAGTCTCTCTCAATGTGAACAGCAATTAGAAAAAGAAGGGAGTCATTCTCAGGGGTTGTGAGGGCTGAATGTGTGCAGAATGTTTTTTTTTTTCTGGCCTCAGTGCCATTAGGAAGTAAGTGCTGATCAAGACTTTGCAGCTGCTAAGCTCCTTTTCTTCCTTTACCAGTGTATGATGTTACAAGGAAAGACACTTTCACAGGCTTAGAGAGCTGGCTGAACGAGCTGGAAATATACACCACCAAAAGCAACACTGTGAAGATGTTGGTTGGCAATAAAACTGATAAGGTCAGTTCAGAAATGCATCGTCTTACGCTCTTCTGCAGATGACTCAATCATGAGACGGTATAAATGTGAGATAAGCTCTGAAACCATCACATTTCTTGTGTGAGGAGGTGATAGGCTCTGGAACTTAGGCTGGGCAGGCTCCTTTTGCTGCCTCATTTGAGAAGCAGCTCGTGTTGGAATTTTGTGGATGTGCTCCTGGAGAATGCAGTTAATGAGAGAGATTCAATTATGGGAAAACAGTGGAAGTTTCTGGCTGGGAACTGTGAAATACGTTTTAAATTAACAGCAGTGCAACAGAACAGCTCCTCTGCCTCTTTGAGCCAACCGTGCTGTGGGCAGGAGGTTGGAAGGGCTCTGCTCTTACCTTCAGCTGGCTGTTAATCATACATCAGTGTGGGTGAGGTGCACACACCTCTGTACATCTCTGGGCATTTTGGACATGTCCTAGATGCACATCACTTAGCACTCTTGCTTTACTTCAAGAGGTTTCCACCGTGGCTATGCTGAAGTAGATAATTGGAATTCTTAGCTGCCTGTGCATCTGCATCGAGCAGTTTGTACTTGTCTTGGGATTTTGGGGAAATCCTCTTTTTCCACTTACCAAGTCTGACAAATTTCAGACATCTTTGGTATGCTTTTTCAGCTAGTTGACTATTGTAACTTCCTTTCTGGCATTTCCTTTGCTCCCCCTTGATTCAGAAGATAACAACACCTTTATTTCCTGCTCATTTGATGTTGCTGTTCTTCAGTTTGACCCTCCGTTGGCTCTGCCTGACACCAATACAACTGAATGCTTTTAAGCTGACTGTAGAGGGAGGGATATTCAGTTGATGGCTGCTACGTGATTTTATAGACTTTTTCTTTCTTTCCAGCAAAACTTCAATTCTACAGTGCTGCTTTTCCAGGGAGTTCCTTAAACTTGCAAATATAGCTTACTCGAGTCATGTTCTTCATTCATCTCTGCAGCCTGATCGGGAAGTAGAGAGAAGAGAGGGACTTCAGTTTGCTAAGAAACGCTCGTTGCTGTTTATAGGTATGTGACTGTGCCAAAAATGTGTATGGTCACGGATTGTTCTATAATTGAAAGTGTTTTTTTTTTCTGATAGTGAGATTCCTTCCTGCGCTGTGTAGGCACGAGTTCTAGATTCTCTTGAATTTTTTTAAGGTCACTTTTTAAACTCACAGTCTTAAAGGCTGGAGGCTTGCAAATAAGATGAAGTCTTTGATTTTTTCCTCCTTTTTTCTCCCTGCCCGCAGAGACCAGTGCCAAAACAGAGGATGGAGTGCAGCATGCCTTTGAGGAACTAGTGATAAAGATCCTGCAGACACCGAATCTTTTGGATAAAAGCACAGAGAAGAAGGGAGTCCAGCTAAAGGAATCGGCACAGCAGGAGAAAAGCTTATGCACTGCATACTGTCCACTTTCTTAGATCTGCAGGTGCCTGTTCTGTCCAAACCAAGTGCAGTTCAGAAGAATATATTAAGGGCTTTCAGGAGCTGCTCCGTGCCTTGTTTGACCTGCCACAATTGTGCAGATTTGATATCAAACTGATTAACAAAATACTCTTTTATTCACTAACAAAGTACAGTTTCTTTCTGTTGTGCACATCTGATATCTCCAGGTTATCAATTTAATGCTTTTTCTGATAGCTCAGATTTGTTACTAGTAAATCATACTACTCTAACAGTATGCTTTTGACATCTAATTTTTCTAGAATTCCTGCCTTGGCATAAAAGAGTATTCCATTCTGAAATATTGCTGTATGCTCCTGGCACAGGAGTCTTTCAGGCTGCCAGCCTCCCTTTAATGCACTTCCTGCTCAGGAGTCACCCTAAGCAGTGACATTACCACTCTATTTCAGATGGTTTTAAGCAGTCAGAATCACTGTGGGTCTGCAGACAACAAGCTGAGTTGCTGCTAAATGTGAGGTTTATAGTGAACAGTCGTATTCAGTAACATTCAGCAAGAAGCAAATGCTTTCTGTGCAGTACACTGTAGGTTATCCCTTGCTGCTCTTAATTGCGTGGTGCTGAGGATCAGAGGTGCTTTGGAGTCATCATTTTGTGCCAGCTGGCAGCAGGGGTACTTCTGCAGTTAACAGAGTAATCTGCAAACCTGTGTTTGTACTCTCATTCAGCAATCGCAGGGTGAGAGGTTGGTTCAGTATAAAATGTGTTGGTGATAGAAGGTTGTGCATTAACAGGAGTATGTCCATTGGCAATTTCATTATGAAGTTCTACAAGACAGCTGCTGCTTTTTACCTTCTTTCTGCTCCAAAACTCACTGCCTTTTCTTGAAAACAAGCTTTGAGTCATGGAAGATGCTGGCCTTGGTTCTGGCTTGGTAGCAATACTGCTAGGAAGGGACTAAGTAAAAACCTCAGGACGTTAAAAGTGTTTAAAATGGAAGCTGGAGTGTTAGGAGACAAATGACAAATCCAAAGATGTTGTGTCATTACAGGACGTTGTCAAACTGGAACAGAAATGTTGCCTTTCTCTTAGGATGCACATTTTAATCCTTTGCTATCAAGTTAAATTATTAGCAGGAGGGCTTTCCTGAGTGACACCAGGGATCTAACATTAATGCTGCTGTACAACAGCTGAAGGCAAGGTGTATAAACCTCAGCTTTCCTCTGGAACTATTGCAGCTTGTTCTCTATAAATGCTCTGGAGCTGTTTTCATCTGTGAAAAGCATGCATGAGAAATTGTTACAAGAGAATAAAATGCCTTTATTGGGTTTTTACATCTGTTTTTCTTTGTCTTGCAATGGGCCATATATCACCTCTATTGCAGTCAGTCTGAGGAAGGCGATGACAGATTCTATTGTAGTGTTTGATGGCTTTATCAATGGAAACATCTGCTCAAAGCCAGCTGAAGGAGCGCTCCTTATACCTACATCCTTGTTTCAGTCTTTAAAACACCCCTGTGAAATAATGTTCATTCGTATCCACTTCTAAGAGCAGAAGTTTCAGTTGGTGTGCCCTACAGCAGTTGGGTGTGCACGCTGCAAGCAGCTCACCAAGGGATGGAATCCTACCATCTGTGAGCAGAGCGTGTCATAATTCAAGGTCTGGAATCTCCAAGTACCACTGCAAGCAAGAGCATGACCACCAGAAAGAGGCTGGAAAATCAAATTTGGAAGACGGGAGGCCTTGGCAACTTGAACAAAGGCACAGGATCAGGTGGGAGGGACATATGGGAACGGGGGGAGATAAATGACTGCTGATCTGTGGGGTGTAAAATGGCCTTTGCTGGTTGTGGTGGTGTTTTGGTGACAAGCCACTAAGGTGCTCACTTTCCTATGTTTCCTGGGGTTGAGGTCGAGACTGGAGAGAAGAAAGATGACTTCTTGTGCTAGTGAACGTGGCTGAAAATATGTCAGCATAGTCTAAGAGCTGTGATAAAGACAAAACGGGGTGCTGTGGGCTGACTTGGGTTGCTGACTAGAGAAAGGCTGCATGGAGGGATTTGGGATTTGGTAATATCACAAAACTTGTTTTCACTTCAGGCTTTTTTTTTTTTTTCTGTGTCTTTCAAGCAAGACATTGGGTGGACAAAATGCCTCTGCACGCACAGAGCTGGCAGCACGTTAACCTGAAGAAGATTCAGGTACTTGTAACCCTACATCTGTGTGATAACACTGCTAGCAGGGAATCTGCTGGAACACAGAGAGCAGGGTCACAGAATTAATGTGAGAGTAAGGGCAAGAAAAAGAAAACAGAATGTTATTACTTTTATGTCAAGTTTGTTGATGTATATAATATATAATAGAGAGTGCTGGGAGATGAAAAAAAGGAAGCAGTGACAAAGCACAGCTCCAGAGCCTGGTGGTTTGGGGATGTGGTTGAGCACAGAATTTAGGTGTTTGTTTTTAAACATACATGGGCAACATAACAGTGAGAGCCAGCCCGGGAAAGAGACTCATGAGAACAGCACTGCAAACTTTCTCTTGCACAGGAGGATCAAAAGCGAATCAGTCAGATTGAAAGAGACAACAAGAAGCTCATTGAGAACCTTGCTGCCATCCAACGAGGGCCAGCAAGGGTGGATTGTTGGAATGAATGCTTACACAGGAGGTAGCTGCTGTACTACCCTTCCTTCCATGTGCATGGGTGGGAAGGAAGGGTGCTTTTTTCACGCATCCTCTCCTTCCTGTTTGTTTTTCATTTCTGCACACAGGTCAAAAAGTGATAAACAGAACAGGAAAATAATGACCATCACTGTGGAAAATCATGGACTTCTGAAAAAGCTTGATAACTCTAAGCCTACCTACGATCAAAAGAAGTTTGAAATGGAATGGCAGGCACGTAGCTGAATTTTTGTATACCTCTGACAATTAGGATTAAGATATCTTAAAGTTCTCAGGTATGGATGTACCTAAAGCTTATGGCCACCACAAAGACCAAATCCTGGATTGAATAAGCGAGTAGTAGACAGGAGATGTGACTGTGAGTGGTGATTGGCCTACAAAGAACTGGATGAGTAAGGGCAGAAAGAAAGGATGGAGTGTACTTCCTTAGGTGTTGTGTTGTTTAACAATGCATAATTAGACTTGGTGATAAAACCCACGAATCTTTTTTCTTTGGCAGAACATGAGGCATTTTAAATAGACTGCCACACAATGCTGCATCTCCTCCCAAGAGATTGAGGTATGTTCTTATACATCAGGTGCCATTTCCTAAAAGCAAAGAGGCTGGGGTGGATGTAGCGGGATTCTAATCCATGCACATGTGAAATGTGTATGTTCTACAGTAAATTGCCATCTTAACTCTAATCACAGAATCACAGAGTGGTCAGGGTTGTAAGGGACCTCAAGGATCATGAATCTCCACCCCCCCTGCCGCATGCAGGGCCGCCAACCTCCCCATTAAATGCTAATAACAAATGTGGCTGGAGATAAACTCAGCTGGCTTCAAATAAGCTGCGTGTCTGAGTGTTCCCTGGCTGTACTCTGCACAATTCATTTTAGAAAGGAAAGCAGTTCAGATGCAGTCAGAAAACTGCCTGACAACTTCAGGTACCGTGGCTGCTAACCACAGCTCTTCCTTTGACACTACAAACCATAACAATATGAAAGGCTACATTAATTTCAAGCACAGGGAGGGAGAGAGAGGGAGAAGGGAGAAAGAGGTTCAGTTTGCTTAAATATTTTGACTTAGGGTTTTTGGTACCACTTACAAAGCAGGACTTCAAACTCAAATAAGTTTGCATGCTGACTTTCTTTATAATCTCTTCTTTTCGTCCCTCTTAACTGCAGAGCACAAACCAGGCCTGGCCTTGACTCAGTATTGTCTGAATTGGAATCTTGTCCTGGAAATAGACATCTGTTATGTGTACCTTTTCCTAAGGCTGTCAGAATAAAGAGGAGAATACATAGAAGCGCTGACTGTTTTTTCTCTTTAGTATGTACTTCCATATTCTCTCTCCATCATTTACTTTGAACCTAAAAAAGTCCTCAATCAGAAAAGCAAAACAAATGTTTCTGATAGTATTCTAAGTTATGATCTGTGGGAGTGTACATCAACGTGGAGTATCTGCACATAACTCAAAAAAAAAAGATTATTTAACTGACACTGAATATTTTAGTTCATGTTTAATAGGAGTGGTATATCTTTACCCTGAAAACTGCACTATCTATCCTGTGGTGAGATTAATCTGGTATGATATTGATTGATAATTTAATAAATCTGCTTAGCTTGAGATGCTGTTAAACTACTGCACTCATTTTTTTTCTGTCTCTTCCCACTCACATCCCTTTGGTGGCTGTGCTGGGCCAAAGCTGCAGCAGTTTAGTGGCAGAGCTGATGGGCCACAACCACATGAGGGAATCCTTGTACAGCTGCTGGGAGGCTTCCAGTCTGGCAACATGTTTTCTGACAAGCCAGAGCAGTTCTACCAGACTGCAGGAAGTGCTGTTCTTTGCAGGGTGATACTTGGAAGATAGCATTTGGAGAAGATCGATAGACAACTTTTTGAGCTGGAGTTAATGTAGATTCAGAGACACTAAATAAGAAATACGCTTTTAATAAGCAATGATGTTAGTTTTGCTGAATGCTCTGGAACAAGAATAACATCACACTGTTAAAAGAATGAGACCGGTGTACCAGAAGGTGTTGTTAGAGGGCACAGTACAGAGGAAAGGTTAGAACTCAACAGGCAATGGAAAATAGGAACAAATTTCAGGTAATACACACCTGCACTCTACTCACAAAATCAATGCGTTTTCTTAGACTTGCCCACCTTAAAAAGCTGCATATTCTTTCTGCCAAGTCCTCCAACAGATAAAATTTCCTCTTCAAGACATGATGGAGCCAAGTGCATGCTCTGGCTGCCTTCACTTCATTTGTAACAAAGGTATTCATAAGTGCTGGGAGAATGATGATTCAGTGCTGTAGCTCAGCTTCCTGGTGTTTCAGCCTCCTCCTTCTGGCAGCCTTTGCAGAGCTGCTCTGTTGCTGTCCACGTGGTGCCCCAGCAGTTGGCATTTGCAAAGATGCCTCGTAGAAAATAAGTTTCTTTAAGTCATGTTTTACACCATACACACTTTTCAGGTAGACTAAAGAACATCCCCGGGTTATGAGCTGGATCAATCACACAGGTATGTTTACAGGTTGCTTAACATCTATCCTGTGCTGTTAGGAAGAGAGCGATTGGGAAAGTGGGCAAAAGCCATAGCTGAGCAGACTAATTACTACCTAAGCAAGACAGCCAGAAGCACTGGGAAAGGGCTGAGCTTGAAAATCAAAACCAACAGTAAGAACAAGAAACCCACCGCCACCCCTCAGCTACTGAAACACAGACGATTTACAGAGCCAGTCAAGTTTTTGTGCCAAATTAGAAAGGGTTTGCAACCAGTAATCCTGAGTGAAAGAAAGCCAGCTGAACCTTGAAGTAACTGACAGGGTGTGGGCACTCTCCCTTGCCCCTCAAGTAGCAAGTAGACTTGTTTCTGGATGAAGAACCTTGTTCAAATGCCACACGAGGTCTGGGCAAATGCTGAAGCCTCTAGCTGTCCTAGCATTGCTTCAGTGCTTTTGGAGATGGGACCCTCTGCACATTTTTACCTTACAAAGTGCAATATTTGCAGTCTAAAAGTCACTCCAGTCTTTTACTAACCTGTTCAGGCTGAGAGTGCACAGCTGGTACTCAGGATTCCAATTCAAGAAGGCAGTATCAGCTTCTGACTTTATTTTTTTCACCTGTAGTCTTTACATATTACTTTCTAGAGAGAATGGCAGTTTTGCAGTGAAATCAACATATTTCCCTTTTGTCATCCATATATTTACAAGGCTTTTTAAATAAATTCTTTCCTTTAAACAGATGATAGCAAACTATGACCTAACCCAGCTGACCGGCACCCAAAATGAATCCTTGTTTAGCTTATCTAGCACAGTTTTAAGCTGATTACATGCACTCTGGAGATCTTCTTTCACCAGCGTAGTGTCAATTAAATGGCCATAGTGCTCTTCGATGAATGCTGCTGAATTAATAATTTCCTGCTGTTCTTCATCCTGCTGACCAACACAAGAAGATGATTTGATGTTTTCAGTATGCATCTGTAATTACTCATTAGCATTTTTATGGATACTAGCACACTAAATCATGACTTTGCAAGAAATGAACCAACAGCGTTAGGAAATGGGAGGAAAGATCTGACAACTGAGATGAAGGAGCAAGAGGCATTAGGGAGGGGGAAGAAACATATTACAAGAGGGAGCTAAGGCACTTATCTCACACTGCAAAATAGAGATTAAGGTTAGAATACTTACAAGAGGTGTCGAGATTTCTTCTGACACAGGAGATTTTAGGACATTTTTTTTCTTTTCTGGAATGAGGGGCTTCACAAAGATAACATAAGGCTTAAATTCAGGAGTCCTCAAGTGCTTCACTGCCTGTAAACAGATGTATTTTCTTTTCTCATGTCATATTATATACATTGTGCGCCAGTGGTCTGCTCATGCTGGGTTCAACAGTTTCACTTGTGTCATACACAAGCCTTCATGCCACATCTAACCATAGCATGCTTTCGTTCTTCAAGAAAAAAGTTAATATCAGCATCCATTAAGGTATTAGAAAAGCATGTGAACATGGTCTGACTGCAGGGACACTTTGCTCTGCACCACAGCCCCAGGAACAAGGATATGAGAAAAGGACAAAAGGAATGATGTGACAGGCAAGTTATTGTTTGCTTCTTGCAACAGGCCAAGCACTGCTCAGCCAGCAGCCCAGCCACCTGTCAGAAAGGTGTTCAAAAAATATCACTGCCCTCTGCACAGCAAGGAGCCCCAAAAGGTAAACAATGTTTGTTACTCAGGCAGGCAGCATTACTAGAAATATTTGCTTTCCGTAAAATAAACTGCTGAACTTACTTCAGGAACCACATCCACCAAACAAACCTTCTTTTTGGCCATCACAGACCGGATCGCCTCAAGACTTGTGCCATACAGGTTTTCTTTGTATTCTCCATGTTCCACAAATCTAAAAAGTAAATATATATGTTTCTTAAATATAGTCCACAGGGAACATTTAACTTTCAAGATCTGATAGCTGTTTCCCAAAGTCACAACAGTCAAATATTGTGGAGCGAAGGAAGGTGGGGAAAAAAAGGGTTTCTTTTTCTCATTTTTTCCTTTGGTTGCTTAGTAACAGTTGTCTTCTTCCCATGACACTGCTAGTGAATCAGCACTACTGAAAAACAGGGGAAGAAGCTGCATTGATTCAGTTGACTGCTGTTCAAGTCTACTAAAACAAAGAAGTTGTTTCTCACATGAAATAGAACAAAGCTGGCAAGGAAATGGACTTGGATTCTTCCACCTTCTGGGAGGTTAGCCAAAATCTGCACTTCTAGGAAACAAGCCTGATCTTACAGAAAGTCCTTCATACCCATGGGTTTAGCCTATAACTCACTTTGAAGTGGAATTATGCATTACATTTCCCCATGCTGCCCATCATATTAAACGAAGAATAAAGTAGAACCAACTAAATATTTGTTACTTTCATGAGGTTCAGTTCAGATCAATCACAGGCTTAAATTCTAACTTCTGGCTGTTTCTAAATTGTCTGTTAGTGTAATTCTTGCTTCACACTAACAGTCCAAACTGAATAAAAGTTGTTCCTGGAAAACAGAACCCTTCTAAAATGGCTCCTCCAGTTTTACCTGAGTTTGGTATTGACATTACTTGAAATTTACTTAGCAATATTTTCAAAATATAATCAGTTATATCAGTATTTTAAAATTAACTCACTTGTTTTGCTGCACATCTGTCTCAAATGATTGCTTAGAGACAAAGTTGTATTCAACTCCCTCTTTCTCATGACTTTTCTTTGACCTCGTTGTATCTAAAAGAAAGTGGAAGCAAAGCACAGCACACGGGTCAGCTTCTGCAGCCAACGCTACTAGCTCTGTTCAGATTCAGTCATGTTTTCATGACCACAAACAAGGCAGTCAAAATTAATATAAAATATAAGTGTCATTATTATTTTGCTGTAAACTACATTATAGAATTGAAAATGAAGTTAGTTTGGGTATTGGATTCCTTTTCTTCGAAACTCAGAAAATAAACATAGAAAATAGATAAAATTCTGCTACGTTGCCTGTGAAGTTTAAGTATGAACATGCCTGGCTGTTTTTAGAATTGGGTCCTTGATGGTTTATATGAAATCAGACATCTTCCCTCAGAGTTCAAGACTGCTAATATTATGCAGTATTTATTTATGTTTATTCTCTTCTCAAACACAAAATCCCATTCCTTAAAATAACAGAAACAAACACAAACTGATTTGATTTGTATCTGCGTTTCCAGCTCCACAGTTAGGCAGAGATTCTCACTGCTGCTTGAAAACTCCTGTTTGTGACAGCAGTTTACATTCTCAGTTATATACAACACATTATGCACGTGCACTAAGTTATTCTCTGATCTACTCAGACTTTTACGATGAGAAAACAATTTCCACTACCTATGAAAAACGCAAATAGTCAACAGCTGAAACACTGATTGATCAATGCAACGAAACCCCATTCACCAATGCAGCTAGCACTGCACTATTCAACAGAACTGATGGAACAAAGTGGCAACACACAGTGTCAGTAAATTCTACTCACGTGGAACTGCAACACCGTACTCCTGTGGGTTCTCTGACACAACTTTCTGCTTGAGCTCATTTAATCTGGCTCCCAAACAACCTAACAAAAGAGAATGGTCTGACTATTTTTTGTGGGGAATAAGTACTGTAAAGAGAATAAGTTACATCTGTTCTAGCCATTCGATCCAAGAATTCTATCCTGCTGAGGGTTTTTTTTTGCCATTTAAAAGAAAAACAAAATAATAATTGAAAAAAAAAATACAAAACTTTTGGAGTGAAGGCAAGAAGAGAAAGTGGAAGGTAATACTCTGGATCAATTCCACCTCTTACCAATCAAAACAATCAGCCTCTGCTGCTCCCCAGGCTGCTGCTGGTATTTTGTGACCTCCTCATATGTTAGGAGCTCTGCTGCATCTGCCTGCTCTGCCTGCTTTGCTTCATTAGGATTGTTCTCCTTCTCTTTACGACTTAACCTAAAGCTCCTGCGTAAGCCAGCTGTGGAGGAAAGACAGAAGAGGCACTGAACCACGTCTCCATTTATTTTCACTGTCAAGCTTGTTCAGTTAGAAGGTACTGTCTTTGAACAGAGACACTCCCTCTATTAATTTTTTTTAATAATCAAATTACTGCACGTATGCTAATCTAATCCACGACCAGTCTGTGCATCAGGTAGAAAATCGAGCACCCCATCTATGCTAAAACCTCCTCAAGTCACCTTGAGCTACTGAGCACTGGTTATGCAAACGTCCAATCACCCCTTCACACAGAGATAATTAGTTCACAAAGTATGTGAAATTAATTATATTATTAATGAAGAAAATTAGCATTGGTACATTTGTTTGGAGTTTTTTCTTGCAGGGAAGAAGTGGATTTTGGTTTCTCACCTATGTAATGTCCATTGAAATATCCCTCACAGTCACAGTCCTCTGCAAAGAAAGAAGTGGGGAGGACATGGGGAAGAGAAAAGGAGGAAGATACCTTAGTGCCTGCTGTATGCAACTGGGTGGTTGGTGAGGAAAGGGATATTTGGAAACCATCATTACTTAACTCAATCCAAATTAAATTAGTTTAAATAGTAAATCAAGATGAAACAACTGTACAAATAAGCTCCATCTACTAATCCCTTTGCTTGAGGGCTTACCAAATATTTTAGGAAATGAATTGGCTGGTTACCTTCAGACAGAAAATGATTTAGGAGGGCACCTACCTTTATCAGAAGTCTGATCATCTGCAGTTAGCATGAAAGATAGAGTTGATAAGATTAAAAGGCTGACAAATGACTGCACAGAATTAGAGGGAATGGGAAGGAAGGTTCCTCTGTGTCTTATTTGCTTATCAGGCTTTTATATCTCAAAAAACATGCAGTAATGTACCCTTATCAATTGATCAAAGACTTTTTTGCTAGAATTAAGTAGTAAATGATAATAATTTTATAATAAAACCTGCTTAATTATCTCGATAATGTCTGAATAAGTAACAACCCTCATTAAGTGCCTCCTAACATTGGATGTAACTAATACAGAAAAGATTAACTTAAATGACTCATGCTGTATTATAATTCGGTTGAGCATCTGCCCTCCACTTCACAGCACAAGAGTACTTCTCCATGAGATGTGCCAAAGCATCACAGGACAGAAACCTGCTTCTAGCAATGAGGGAGGACAGTTTCCAGATTCCTGGTCTACATGAGTGTGGCATCATCCAGTCTCATGGCTCTCCCACACCTCAGTAACAGATGGGTTATTTGATGTCAACACTAAGAAATTCTCAAGTATCTAAAAAACCTCCTAAGGCCTGATGTTCTTGAAAACAGGAAGAGAAGGTCAGCCATGATTTTAAGCCAGCAGGCACTTGTAACACTGGATAAAGCTCAAACGGAACTCTTCCCATGTGGCAATTCATATCCATGTAGATCAGTGACAGAAAACATAGGACATATACAAAAGTGCTATTATTGAAAATACATTAAAAACAAATCTTGAGAAGTGAAAATCAACTACAAAATCACTTCAGGGACTGAACAGACTTACATAATGGCTTCTTCACAGTTCTGGGATTCGGCTGGGTGCCTATACTTCTTCTGTACATCAGTCGTCTAAAGAGAAAACAATTAGATTTTAGTCATTAACGCTTAACATCATAAGCAATTCATAGTATGAGTTACACATACATCATTTAAAACCAAGAATGAAACAGCATTTTTACTGGGAAAAAAAGAAAAATTGTTTTTGATTCAACATCTACGATACAGAGAAGATGCATCCAGCAATGTGGAGTAAGAATCACAAACGACCAGTGGCCAAAATCAGATCCCTTCTTAAATTTACAGCTGTCCTGAAAATAAAAGGCATCAGGAACATTTTTTTTTGCTTTCTAAGATACATTTATCGTACTGTGAAAACAGAGAAGCCCTAGCCCTGATGATATCTGGGTCTAAGCTGAAGACTCTCTTAGGAACCAGAAGAAACATCAACTACACTTTTTCTTTCACAATTATTTAATGCATAAACTAATAACTGTTAGAATAAATCCTCACGCTATGGAAATACAAGTCTGTGAAATAGTCTGTCTCCATAAACCAAGAGGTTCAAGGACATATATTCCATGTTTAATCTCAAGCCCACTTCTATAGCAGGTGCTTCTGCTCTCATGCTACACAGCACAAACCAGATGGAAAGCACCCTAAGAAAGCTGGGAAGTTCATTATATAACTGGGGAATACGAAACCTTCTAGCACTGTCCTCCAAGCATGGCATGTTTCTGCCCTTTATTTCCTGCAAAAAAAAAGAAAAGCAGCACAAAAACGTGTGATATCATATGGTTACTTAATAAAACCAATAAAAACCTGTAATCTTCATTGACAAACCTTTCTTGGAACTGCTTCGAGGGGATCAAGCCTGCTCTGAGGTTGGTGTCTCCAACACGCTTTGCTTGCCACCATGTAGGATCATCTTGGCTTACAACTTCCAGGATGTGTCGTCTCTTAAAGGGCAAACCAGCCTCCTGGCAGGGAATGGCTCTGTCTTCTTTGGGATTATAGCAGAAAAGGGCCCTCATAAACACCTTCAAAAGAAAGTAACGCATCCTTTCTTCTTGTCCTTTTTGGAATTACAGTGTACCTTAAGAAGGTACTTTTCTGACTCTAACATCATTAACTAGAAAAATATAAACACACTTTTTCTCCTTCTTATGCCTTGTGGTACTCAAAAATATTGAATCCTAGTAAACTGCACTTGTATTTTGACTTACCCATGCAGAAAAATAAACTAACTTCCAAGCATCTACTCAGTCATTATGTACTGTCACTGTGCAACGTGAAACTCAAAGTCCCAATTAAGCACAGCCTACATAAACATAAAATGCAACAAACAGGAAAAATAGAAGGGGAAAGAGAAAACTATGAAGAAGGATTTATGGCAAAGTAGCCTTATTGTGAAGGCTGCACTTATAACATTTCTTTAATCAACATCTGATGCTTAACTTTGGATTTGTATCCTGGCACTATTGCATATATCAGAGCAGAAATATTTATAGAAATAATTTGAGGGGTTCCAAGGAAGAATTTGTCTCCAAAGAGCAGGGAAGTAAGGAGGTTGAGAAGGAATCCTGGAGGGGAGCATTGACACAATTAAGTCATTGCTGATAAAGAAAACCAAATGCAAAGGCCTAATATGGCCAAATGACGAATGCAGCTCTGTTGGAGGGCAGATCTGTTTTGACTCAAGTGAGTGGCAAAATGCCCAGTGATAATAGGCAGATAACAGCTGTCACAGCAAGAGGAGACTGGCAGGAACACCAGGTTTAATTCTGCAAACCAAAAGAAGCAGCTAGATTATGAATGACCATGTGCCAAGATAAGGACAATGGAATTCACCTAAGTACTTATACTGAACAATATGGCACAATCTTTTATATCAAGGTGCTCTACTGCCTTTTCAGTTATATTATGGGTCTCATTCCGTGATGATTCTTACTGAACCAACAGGAATCTTAGATAAATGCAAGTATGAAAACTGTGCTTTGGTATTCTACCAGGCTCTGCATACCTTGCTGTCTTTCAGACGATCCTCTTCTTTGATGGCTGGAATTATTTTTAATGTTATTGATCCCTGAGACTGTGCCTGCAAAAAAGGAAAATGTTTTTTTTTAAACTTTGAAATCAGTGTAAGGACAACGCAGACTATCCAAGTCCCAGTTTAGGAGCCAGTCAGTCTTCTTCTCAGAACTTTAATAGGCAAAGCTAATCCCCTATTTAACTGTCATGATGTTCCACTGTAATCCCTGTGGAGATGCCAACAGTAATTCCTCAGCTAGAATCTATTAAGACTTGGACTAAAATTCTTTCATTTCCTTTTAGCAACCACATTCATTTCTGGATTACAGCTCATGAAGTATTAAAAACTTCCGTGGCTTTTAGTTTGATATCAACTTAAGTTTTTGGAGCCTGAACATTTGAAGGTGCTTGGCTGAGAAACAGTTGTTTTCCCAGATTGCAGCTCTTTTTTCTTACTTGTTAGGGTGCAAATATAAACATTCACTAAGTAAACACATCCACTCTAAATATCTTTGCTAAAAAATGTCATTTGTTAGATACAGTAAATTAAGAAGTAATTGTAGGTGCTTGAAAATTCAGAATAGGATCGTCTGATCTATTCTTAGATACATTCCTCTGTATGAGATAACTGTCCTAGAGGAGCCTGTTACTCTGTACGGATAGAAATAGAAAGCAGGAAGATCAGCGTGGACAAACAGCCGTAGGTCTTCTTCAGAAACAAAACATAGAAAGAAAACTATCACACTGCAGGCATTTAAAATAGGACAGACAAACACTACCCCTGGGGTCCCCCCAAATCAGCTTCATACAAGATTTCAAAGTACAGTTTTGATTTCTTCCCCTGAACCAAAAGCAGTCATTCTCTTCATCCAGTATAATTCAGTACAAATTTAAGTTAGGTGATGGAACTGATGCCAGAGACTTCAGCCTCTTAGTGTTGGTTTTCTTCTCTCTGCATTACTAATCCCACTCAGCACAGGCAAGAGGGAAGCAAGCTGCAAGAGGGCAGTCAGAAATGAGTAAGAGCTGGGACACTTCCTGCAACACAACAGGATGACCACAGATGTAGGAGTTCAGAAAGACTTAAAGATTTGTGATTTAGAGCAGCTTGGAGCAAGAACTGCTAAAGCCTTGAGAAATCTGGTAGTAAAGGACAGACTGACAGCACTAATGGGCACACAGCTAACTTTCTTCAGCTTCCTGATATAACCACATCATGAATAAACTGCTTTTCTATTAAGAATACACTTTTAATTTGCAATTTGCTTGTCATAAACAAAGCATGAAAGGGATGTTCTTGACAAAGCAACACAACTTTATATTTGTATCTTACTTGGTACCAATTCAGTTCCATGGACGTTTCTGAAGTCAAAAGGAGAGGACTAAATAATCCACGTTGAGAAGAAAAACTCTTATTGTAAAGACAAGCAGGGATTCCATCTTTTAGCTCTACACACACATCTTAAACTCAAGGTTAAATTTCACCATCTATCGTAATTACTAGATCACCCAATAGAAAAGATCTTGAAACAGAAATCAGTGCAGACCAAAATCTGACTTATTTCTTCGGGTCGTTTGTGAAGCACAGCAATACCATTGACTTCTCTCAGTTCATCTCCAACGTGGACAAGACCTGAAAAAAGAAGCAAGTTAAAGCCTATAGAATGGAGAGCAGCACTCCTCTGACATCTGACCCAGGTGCCTCCCTCCTCTTTCTCTTTCAACTTAGTGGATTTCCCTCTACAGCCAAGTGCTTCTGCTGGCAGTGTGCTCTGAAATCTCCTGCTCTTAATCCACGTGGCAGTTTTTTTCATGCACCAGAGTCATAAAGACCGGAACAGGAGTGCATATTTGGCAAGATACTTTGGAAAATCACCTCCTCTACATTTGGATCAGCACTAAGAATGAAAAACTGGAATAGCTTCCCAAGGATGATCAAATCCTGTACCATCAGGAGACAGGTGCTGACTATAAAGACAGGAATAACATGGCTGTCAGCTGACAGATCAAAACCATGCAGTACCAGAAAGGTTGTTGGACTAATCAACTTAATTTTTAAGCAAGCCATGAAAAGGCCCTTAAGAATGTTACATTTGCTTATCTGGTTAAATAAGAAATACTGCATTTATGCACAGTATAACTACTGTTCAGTGACAGAGAAGAATTTGTGAGTAAAGGAAACAGCAAACAACTCACAATATACTGAAAACACCAAATATACCAAGATGTAAGCATCAGAGAAAAGGAAAGAAAAGAAGGTGTTTTAACTTCTAATCTTACACCTACTCCTCCCATCTCTGCTGACATTTTTCCCAGTGGTTATTTTAAACAAAAATGTATCTAATTAAAATAATAGATTCCTGATGAAATACGGAAATGCTAAGCACAGCTCTACTCATTTTATTACATTTATCAGATTATGCCAACATGAAAAATTGTAACAGTCAAGAAAAAAGCTGTAATTAGCTAATATTTTTCCATCACAGTAATTCATTAATTTTGAGATTGTATTACCTGTATATTAAAAAGTACACGAGGCTTGGATTCTATAAATCACACGTAAGGCCAATTCAGCTTATTGCATAAACCCTGAACAAGCACCTTTTAGAAAACAAAGTCAAACACCACATGCATTAACCCTGTAGGATCTGGAAGCGTGCTGCACAACAGCCTATGGAGGGAAGCCTCTCCTGCCACCAGGCACTTGAAATTCAGCTGCCAAGTGAGCCTACCATGCAAGCTCCCCTCACAGTCAATGAGGAAGAAAGGCAATTCCAACATTGGAATCCCATTCCGAGGCCTGCTGGGATGATTCATTCCCCAGCAATGTAAGTCTCCCTCCACTGACTGCACAGAGTACACATTCCAGTTCAGACTTGGCATCCAACAGTTTCCTATTATGAATTAAGTGAATTAAGTTTGCTCTGTCTTTTTCATAAAATAGTCAACATGTATTTTAAACACCCATGCCCAAAGAGCTGGTTTTGCTCATGAAATTTACCACTGCGATCAGCTGCACCACCTCTCATGATCCTTGCTACAATCACAGCCCCTGTATGCTCATCTCTTCTGATGGTAGCTCCCTGAAATAAAACATAGCCCCCCCAAAAAAGAAACCATCATAAGAAATTTGCTTAGGATATACTAAGCAGTGAAATAAACTATGTCTTCTAAACTGGAATTCCTTTAGAATTCATACAGATTTTGTCTTCCACCTTAACAACTTCCACTGCTACTGAACTTTAGCTGTGGCCATGTCACATGGTTGCAGGAAAGTCCAGTGCTCCCTTTCTTTCTGATCACTCTGCTCACTGTTTACATCACACTGTCATTATGGTGATGATATATGGACTTAAGCACACAAAACAATACCTTGCAAAGTGCTTTCTCTATGTTTCTTCTGAATCTTTATACAACAGAGCCAGCCCTATTATGCATAAAGGGTGAGGAAAGCCAAGGAATCACAGAGTTTTATGAGTTCTTTAAACCTCCAAGCTCTGCTGGCAATATAAAACTTTAATCAGGAATTAAGCCTCTGCTCTCTACCACTACCTACTGTCACACACAGTTCCAAAAAGCACTTCAGCAGACCCCTTCCCCACTGTAATTATTTTTTCTCAGGAAATCATTTCTTTCTATTTGTATCTTGTCAATATACTGTTTATATACAGCTAGTAAACACGCTCTTAACATACATCACTGACACTCATGTATAGGAAGGTATTCACTCATTGTATGCTAGCTATGACACGAATTACTGCATATAATGAGCATAATTACTTTAACATACAATTTCCTCAGAAGTAACATTCCCAGCAAGTTACAAACACGTCTATACAGTGTTTATTCAAAACTATGAATCTGTATTTACCAAAGTTCTTTTAGGCAATTTTACTTCACAGTGTTCTCACTTTCTGTAGAATTCTTGGTGATGCCCTTCATGCTCCTCCTCTGTATTTACAATGACTCCTTTCCAACACAGAATGTTATGACTAGATGTGGATTATCTGATACGTACCAAGGGCTCTTTATTTTTCACTAGCCGAACAATTTTCACTGATTCTTCATCAAAATCATCATCAAAGTTATCTGGCAGAGGTGGAAGGACGGGGTCAAAGTTCTTCTGTGCTACAGTGTCATGTACTACAAGCATTGCCTGTTTAAACCAAGTAAGAAACAGTAATACAATAGAGCAACATCATGGCTTCCTTCTCACTTTTCAAACATTACAGCAAACCTAAAAACAGGAAAACATCCCCAAAAGCTAATTTTGGGAAAATCCTACATGGAAGCCCTGAAACAGGAATAGCTGATTTTTACTGGTCTGAAGAACTGACGAAGTCAGTATTTGGTTCTAAAGGCTTTTGCTTTCTCTTAAGACTGTCCAATGTAACCTTTCCTGTGCAGAATGCTGTCGGAGTTACGCAAAGAAACTTGAGCAAGTTCTTTGGTGTGTTTTGTTTTTTTTTTACCCTGAGATGTGGTGTTGACAGCAGCTGAAGCAGCTCTTTTTCTTCATTATTCACTGGTGCAGTCTGCAATTCTTCTATTACCTTCAAAATAAAAACGAGCAACTTCAAAACAAAAGGTGTCCATAATGCCATACAATCTATAAGCATTGGATAAGTGCATGAAAAAAAAAACTGGTGTTTGCTCTGTGATAAAGCACTTCAACACTATTTGCAACCAGGTGGCATTATTTGTGTGCATCATGCAACAAAAGTTTCCTTATTACCCTGCAAAGCCTGGACACGTTCTGTGAACAGCAATGCAACCTGGACTGTAACAGTCTTATGTCCTTAAGATGGAACTTCTAAGTGGAATACTCTGATGTCTCTTGCTGCCTCTCCCATAGGAAGACCATTTAATATCATTCCTCTGCTCTACTTGTGGTCTATCTTCACTGGACACATGACATAGTATTTTTGACATTTTATTTCCTTGACCAACTGTGAATAAAATTTACCAATAATTTCCAAGAGAACTGAGGAAGAAGAGGAATACATACCCATAGAAGACAATGGCTTTGATTTGTTGGAAGAGTGGACTTAAAGAGAAAAGGGAAAAAAAAAGGAGATCAGAGTTTTTACTCACATCTTCAACTAATCCTGCTGCGCTATGCAGAACAGGAGTTGGACTCTGTCTTTCATAATGACGGAGCTTTTCATGAATCTGAAAAAAGATACAAAACTTCTCAAAATAAATAAAAGTATTCCACATACTTTTATGCATAACTTTTCTGAGATAAGTATCAGAAAAAATCACCTCTCTTGGGGTTATTTTTCATGTATGAGGTTGTTTCGGTTTTTTTTTTCCCCCTCTTCTTTTTGCTAATGCTAAGAAATCTGTTAAAGCTTCAGCAGCACAAGGGAAAAAATGAAGTCACCTCATGCTGCTTTTCTGCTACTGGGTACAGTACCTGCATTTTGGCAACTGCATCAAGTAAACTATGAAGTGTTCTTAATTAGACTAATTAAACTAATTAGATATAACTAACTACTGACCAAACCTTATAAACAGCCCTTCCCATTTGATTCCCCTCACACAACTCAACATGAACATCCAATATCAGGCAGAAATGGTTTTGTTTGAACAAAGTATCTTGATTTTCATTGAATTTTCTTCATGTTTACATTTAAATAAATGCGTGTTTTGGCCAACACAGAATGCTCCACAACACCAAATTAGATTTGGCAAAGTTGTTGATGAGCCGAGGAAATAAAGAATAAATAACCTGCAAGGAAAATGTAGATTGATAAACTTTTACCTTCATCAGGTAGCTGAGACTCTTTTCACTGAAGACATCCTTAAGGAACCCCATTTCCTCTTTATGATTTGAATCAGGTCGTAGCTGAGATGTCAAAAGGGCTAAAGTTTCATGTAAACCTACATTTAAATTTGAGACAGAACAAAAGATTTTGTAGAAAGCACATCTTACAGGTCCCTTCTACAGGCTTAATGTCAACATTTACTTGGGTACCATCTTGATTGTTACTGTCTGTACAGTGGTGGGTGCTTGTCATCCAGTCGTTTTTAATGCTTCCTTCTTAAGCAGTAAATGCATCTTGAGATACAACACACATCACATTTCAGCCAAAGCTACAAAAGCAACACTTTTTAAAGCTACTATTTTTGATGTTTTCCCCTTCACGTATTCCCTTTGCTTCTGCAATGGCCAATCCTCTGACAAACCTGAAGTTATCACAGTTCCAAAACAAACATGGAAGATCACTGAACCACAGCCATCAGCTCTGCTTCCCAAAGTACTCTGCTTGCAAACATTATCCTGTTCCTTCTACCCCCAGGCACCTTTTAACTCTTAATAACTTCGTTCAGTTCCATTTTTCACACTCCTCTGCCCTTGTATATTCCTTCAGGTAAACTGCTATGAAATCTAGTTGAACCATCTTCATTCTATCTTATTTAACTGCAGTGTGAGTTCATTTCCTGCATAAAAAAACACACACACACACCAGGGTTTCAGTCACTGCTCTGTAGAAAGCATGCAGACTCGTTACCTGAGTCTTCCGAAAGCACTGGCATGGCTTTGTTTGTAATCTTAGACACAAATGTTCAACTTAAATCAACACGACTGCTTCTTCTTTCTGGACTGAGAGTCAGAGGCAGTTCTGAAATCAGCAAAGATAAAAATCTAAGTTCAAGCACATGAGAAAAAGGGAGATCATGTAAAAACAGTCATTTACTACTATACATTTTTCTGTTTGGTTTAACCTGAGTCAGGCACAACCCTCCAGTTATTCTATCCATGCAATAACACACAATAAAGTAAGATACTGTGTTATATAACATCATCTTGTACAGAGCTGATGGCAAAGAGAACAGATGCTTCCCTGTTCTATTCTCAAGAGAGCCACAGCTTTAAAAGGCCTAAAGAGTCATTGAAAAATGAAAAGAGAAAGCACGATACAGAATGGATGGCTGAAAACACTGATCAGCACCACATGCACAGGAACAGAGTGTGCAGGATGATGCCATCATGAGATGTTCCAGCATTCCAATGCAGGCCGTGCTACAATTAGATGCAACTCATTAAAGCTAGCAGGAGTCAACCTTGGGCATGGTAATAAGGATGCTACAAAAATTACAGCTGACTCCGTGGTACAAAAAAAAATTCCACTGGATGTTTTTATTGCTGATTTCTCTGGAGGGCAAATGACTCCAGAAAATATACATTTCAAAGAGCAAAACTGAATCATAGAATGGCCTGGGTTGAAAAGGACCACAACGATCATCCGGTTCCAACCCCCTGCTGTGTGCAGGGTTGCCAACCAGCAGACCAGGCTGCCCAGAGCCACATCCAGCCTGGCCTTGAAAGCCTCCAGGGATGGGGCATCCACAACCTCCTTGGGCAACCTGTTCCAGTGCCTCACCACCCTCTGAGTGAAAAACTTCCACCTAATATGCAACCTAAACCTCCCCTGTCTCACTTTAAAACCATCCCCCCTTGTCCTATCGCTATCTACCCTCACAAACAGCCGTTCCCCCTCCTATTTATACACTCCCTTCAAGTACTGGAAGGCCACAATGAGGTCTCAGCAGAGCCTTCTCTTCTCCAAGCTGAACAAGCCCAGTTCTCCCAACCTCTCCTCACAGGAGAGCTGCTCCAGCCCTCTGATCATTAAGGCAACACACTTATTTAATTAACTTTCAAGGTTGTTTCTACTACATACTGCTTTACAGAAATAAGCAATACACCCAATACAGAAATAAGTTCCATCCTCCATCCCTCACTTCATGCCGGAATAAACATACACCCAATTCATTCAACCAGTTTGGTTCATTCATGCTCCATTTCACATGACATGTACTTAACGTGTTCTCTGATTATCAATAAAGCCAACTTTAATTGCCTGCTCTGCCTTTGTGAGAATGCATGCCTCCCCCAGCCACACTTATTGAGCACCAAAACCAAAGCAAACAAACTTGTCTTCCAGACTCTTAATCCAAAAGCATCCTGCCCAGGAGGCTGGAAAACTATTTTAACATCTCAAAAACCCAACAGAGATCCTTGGGTCACCGGATTGGCGTTTATAATGGATGTTTCTCCCAAAGGAATGATGCCATGCTCTGTAAAACCCCACCAGGCTGTGCTGCTGGGCTGAACCTCAAAGGAACGCCGTGCATCCCGTGCCCAACCACTCACTGCTGCTGTTCCCAAGGCACTAAACTCAACCCCAGGCACTTGACACGTTGCAAGGGAGGCTGAAAAACACCGAAGCGCCCTTTTATCCTCACGGTGCGCATGGGCTCAAGCGCCCTTTTTGCCTCAAATTCCCCACCCCGTGCCATTAAGTCCTTTTGTAGAGTGCTCTGGTCCAGCAGGCCACCACCTGAGGGAACGAACCTGCTGCGGTTCAGCCTACAGCTGGCTTCTATAACCCACAGGGCCGAGCGGGGGAACTGCTCACGCCACAACGCGGACATCAGCCCAGCGAGGGGAGAGACCGCTCGGAGGGCGGCTACAGCACAGCACCGCACAGCTCCATCCCCGCATCCCCACACCCTCAGCCGTGCTCTGCAGTCGCCTCGAGCACTGCCCTGCTCCGCTCTCCGTCAGCGCATCCCCGCACCTCACAGCCCGGCCCCGCCCGCCCGCAAAATGGCGGCGCCGCGGTTCCCTCAGAGCCGTTACCTGCGGTGCGGGCGCCAAACCCCGCGCTGCGCTGCGCTGCGCTGCCCGTCCCGACGGAGCGGCTCCCGCCTCCCGCTCTCCGCTGCCGGCCGCGCTCATGCGCTCCGAGAGCCGCTGACGCACCGCCCTCCTCCCCTCCCCCGAGCTCCCGGTGGAAAAGGCCGTCGTGATGAGGGTTTTGAGAGCCCGCCGCCTCCCCGGGCTGCCCGTACGGTGCTGTTGCCTTTACTGTGAAGAAGTTTTTCCTCATGTGGGATCTTCTACGTTCTAGCTTGCACCCACTGCCCCTCATCTTGCCAGTGGATGTCAATGAGAAGAGCTCCATGCTCCTGACACGCATCCTTTACATGTTTATTAGTATTAATGAGGTCGCCCCTCGTTCTCCTCCGAGCTAAAGAGCCCCAGCTCCCTCGTAAGGGAGATGCTCCGCTCCCTCCATCATTTCTGTGGCCCTGCACTGGGCTCTCTCAAGCATTTCTCTGCCCTTCTTGAATCGAGGGACCCAGAACTGGACACAACATCCCAGCTGTGGTCTCAGCAGGGCAGAGTAGAAGGGGAGGAAATCGATCTTTCCAGGCTAACAGACCCCAGGTGCCACAAGGGCACAGCGCTGTGTGGGTCACCCTGCTGTACCCACAGCTCCCTTTCCTCTGTGCTGCTCTCCAGCAGGTCAGTCCCAAACCTCTGCTGGTAGCTGGGGTTGTTCATTGCCCAGCATTGTGAAAAGCAGTCATAAATGCCGGATAAGACCTCTCAGATCCCCAGGTCCAACCCCAAGCCATCCCCACCGTGTCCCCAAGTGTCACATCCCCACCATTCTGGAATACCCCCAGGGATGGTGACTTTCCCACCTCCTAAGCAGCCTTCGATGGTGCCTGACTGCTTTTTGGAGTAGAAATTGTCCCTGATGCCCCACCTGAACCTCCCCTGGCACAATATGGGGGCACATCCTCCTTCCAACACAAGAGCATCAGGTTGGCCATGACCGAAGGTGGCATCTATGGGCAAGCTGCATGGGTCTGCTGCTGGTTAACCTCAAGCCCGCCCTGCTGTGCTCTTCATAGAGTAATCTTGCTGTTCTGGAATACAGCTTTGCCATCACACGTAGCAGTGAGCAATGAGTGCATGCCTGGGTAAGGCACGAAGTGCTGCATTTGTGCAGTGCAAGCAGCCCCTGCACTGAGCAGCGTGCTTTTCCCTCGCAAGCTGGAGATTCACCTTCAAGGAAATTGAATCCCTGTTCTTTTGAACTGGGTGACCACCATCATCTTCAAAAGCCTGAAAGCGTGCAGAACTGGCAGTAAGTGAGGCAAGAATTTTAGAAAACCTCAGTTTCAACTTTGGTGTCTACAGCCTTCATATGAATGTAGCCCATAATCTCTAAATAAACTCCATCCAGTTAAGCTGAATCTGTCTAAGGTAGGATTTATATCACTGACAGCAGGTAACATCCAAAATAATGCTCCCTCCCCACATACTTGTAATCTGACTTTAGATGTAGCAGAGATTGAGGAAGAGTTAAAAAAAAAAAAAAAAAAAAAAAAAGATGAGAAAGAAGAGCAATGATATCCCTAATGTCTTAATAATCATTAAACCATCAGGGCTGACGTGTTTTGTCCTTGTGTATAGCTCTGGAAAGGATTGGCTGAGGACGTTTGAGAGGTTTGGGGGATTTTTGTTTTCTTTTAAGGAGATGGGTGACGGAAGACATTGCAGAGAACATGAGAGAACAATAAAAGAAATGCAGGCACTGGAGTAAGATGGAACAAACAGGCTTCTATCGTGTGGTGTGAACATCTTAAAGATCCTCCTGTAGCACATGGTAAAAATACTGACATTAAACTCTGCACACACTAATAGTTTATTCAGTTCCCAAGCCAGAACTGAAGCAATACACAATTACCAGTTATTATAGGCTGTTTTCTAAAAACGCCAATAAACACCGGCCACTATTTTGTAATGAGAATGATTTGCCAAAAATTAGGTGTTGGAATGAGTGAGTTGAATTACAGTGCTGCTCTTATGTAACTGAGAATTAAAATACTGATTATTTTTGAGGAGAAAAAACCACCCACCCTTTTAAATATTAATATGTCGGGCAATAAAAATCACTAGCCTAGCCCCAATTAGAGCTTCTAACACAATTAATAATTGCCAATTTCGGATCTTTTCTGTCCATTAAAAAACATGAGAACTGCATTAAAATCACTTAAGCTCTTAGGGAGCTCTTCTGAACAGCATCTCTGCTAATTGGACCATAAACACAAACGCACAACTGGTAGATGTAATTACTATCTAATTCTGATAGATAAGACCTCGTTTGCCTTTGGAATCTTTATTTTCATTTAAACTCAGGCTAAGCATTCGCATGTTCGCATCCCTTTAAATGCTGACCTATTTCAGGAATTCCCTTTAAAATCCCGGCGCTGCCGGCAGCACGGCCTCTCGGCGGATGCCTGGCTGCCGCTCCCGTCATTATTCTCACTCCTCTACCCGGCTGCTACAGCGAGACGAGGTTGGGATACAGCAGGGCACCGGCTGCGTGGACCAAAGCAGAGCTGCCAGGCGCTGGGTCGGGGGGGGGGGGGGGGGAACCTCACTGTCATCCCCTGGGACTCAGCGAGCTCCGCTCCGCCCCGCTGCCGCCCACCGGCCCGGCTCTCCCGTCGGCTGCGGGCAGCGCTGGCGGCGGCTCCGGCTGAACGGGAATCCCTGCATCCCACATCCCAGCGAGGGCATGGCTGCCGTGAGGAGGAAGTTCGGTGATGAGTACCAGGCGGTGGGCCCGGCCGCTGCCGGTAGCCGCAGAGAGCGGCAGCGTTTTGTGGACAAGAACGGGCGTTGCAACGTGCAACACGGGAACCTGGGAGGTGAGAGCAGCCGTTACCTCTCCGACCTCTTCACCACGCTGGTGGATCTCAAATGGCGTTGGAACCTGCTCATCTTCCTGCTGACTTACACGGTAGCCTGGCTGGTCATGGCTTCCATGTGGTGGGGCATTGCCTACCTGCGAGGTGACCTGCACCGGGCACACGATGACACCTACAGTCCGTGCGTGGCCAACGTGTACAACTTTCCCTCCGCCTTCCTTTTCTTCATAGAGACCGAAGCCACCATTGGCTACGGGCACCGCTACATTACCGAGCGCTGCCCTGAGGGCATCGTGCTCTTCCTCTTCCAGTCACTGCTGGGCTCCATCGTCGACGCGTTCCTCATCGGCTGCATGTTCATCAAGATGTCACAGCCCAAAAAGAGAGCTGAGACCCTCATGTTCAGCCGTGCCGCAGTGGTCTCGCAGCGGGATGGAAAGCTCTGCCTCATGTTCCGGGTCGGCAACCTCCGCAACAGCCACATGGTTTCTGCTCAGATCCGCTGCAAGCTGATCAAGGTGAGGCCCAGAGTGACAGCAGGAAGGATGAGGCAGCAGGTTGTGGTGGGTGATGCTGGGAGAGGTCAAGAGAAACTGCTTGCCCCAAGAGCAGGCAAGCTGCCCTGAACCCCCTTTTTGTCCCTCAGGGGGCCTTTCACTTGTAGTTCCTTACCCCATGGGTCCTTCCAGCACTGCAGAGCTTGAGTGGAAAAGCCCTTTGATTTTCACCACTATCTATTAAGCACTGACAAGGGTCAGTATAATTCAGAATGCAAAAAAGAACTGGAACTCAAATTCAACTAATAGATAAATAAATAAATAGAGGAGGCAGAACTGTTTGGCAGCCATGGGAGTCCTCAGATACACTGGGCAAGAATAGAATGGGAGGAAAATACTGTGTGGTTGAGTGGCATGTTGAGAGGAAGCAACAGAACAGCTCAGAGCAGCTGTGTCTTGTCACAGGGGCATGCCTGATGGGCTGCATCAGCAGCTGAATCCTGGTGATTATGTTAATTTCAGAATATGAATGTCATAAATGTTTCATGTTCTCTATGGTAATCCTCTTTTTGGAGCAACTGCTTGGCCATTTTAATAATCTGCAGAAACAAGCCTGATACAGTAGCTGATAAGACAATGGTAAATGTGAAGGACTGCTCTTCCTCTGCTTTGTGCTGAATGCCTGACTTAGCTGCTAATTTTTCTTGTCAAAGAATTCCTTTTAAAATGGAGCTCTACTAGGATTCAAAAAGCAGTTGGATTTGTACATGAAAATGAACTGCTGAGAATTACAATAGAGCAATTTTTGTAGGAATCTGAAAGCCAGATAATCCACTATTTTTGCTGATTTCTAGCACTGAAAATGATCAGAAATCCTCCTCTAAAGTATTTATTTCTGGCCATCATCCAAGATGGAATGCAAGTCAAAGCAGAACAGGAGCAGTGTCACAGATGTGATTTTTACACTGATGGCAATTCACTGTAAACTTCTTTTGAAATGACAGCCTGAAAACACAGCCTGGTGCACTGTTTGCTAACAATTCTATTGCTGCACAATGCTGGTTTATAGAGAAAACAGGAGGGCATTTGATAAGGACTGATTCATCTTACAATAGTTGTTCCACAGATTAAGCAGTGAATCCCTGAGTAATACCTGAGCTCTTACAGCTCTTACAAATGATCACCAATGCCCTTGATTTGTCTTCAAGCTTCTTGGCGACCTTTGGCAAATCAAAGCTATTGCCACAAGAATGTTTACAAGTAAATGTGCACAAGCTGCACCCTCAGTGCTCACTGCAAGTAGTGTTTTCTAGCCCACAGTAGCCCTCAGCCTTCTTCTAAATCCTCACCAGTTTGTCGAGGTGCCCCTTGAACTGGACGTGCTGTCCCAGCAGAGGCAGCAGCTGTTCCAGCAGCAGATGAATTTACATCAGCTGCTTTGCAGCAGCTTCCTTTGTGCATCCTGTAAGCCCATGATGAATGTGATGTAACTCTCAAACCATCTCTCTGTAGCAAGTCCTGCCTGTTTTGTGCTTTGTGCTTTTGGCTGTGCTTCCTGCGGTGCTGCTGACAGCTGATCTTGCTACACTCCTGTGTTGGATTAGATAGCAAGATGTTTACTTGTGTCCCAGTGAAACAATGTGAAGGAGTGTGTCTTACCCCACTTTGCCACTGAGATAGGAGCTGTATTTAGTATTAAGCTTCATGTTTCAGTTGGACTAATGGAGGTCTTACCTTTGTTTAAAAAAAAAAAAAGTCCACCAATCTAAGTCTGTTCAAGTGGCATTTACTGCTGGCATGACATATGCCCTAGGATATTCAGTAGATTTCACTGACAACCATCATAATGTTGGTGTGATAGCTTTCAGCTGGTAACATAGGAGAATTTGATTTGGAAAGCTGAGAAATGTAGAATGCAGTGGCAGAAAGGTACAAATGAAAAAATCTAGACACCTAAAGAGTTTGGGTTTTTTCTTACCTGTGAGGCAAATAACCTTTGGTGCGACTCATGTAGACCTTTGGATTTCCCATCTCTTGCCACATTAAAAATCAAAGCTGGGGCATTTCTAACTATTTGTGTCCTGGTTCAAGTGTGTATTAATCTGTGAAATTTATCTGGCTTTGTGGGAGGTCAAAATAAAGAATCTCAGCCATCCCTTCCAAACATACTGCTGGCAGTTTACAGTCCTGTGTTGCCTTCTGTGCTCCTTTGAGTACAGCTGTGTGCAACAGAGTTTGATGTCTGGAAGTCTTAATGTGTTAGAGCTATGAAACTCTTTGTTTAGGATAGTTTATTTTTACTTAACAAATAAGCTTCTCTTCAAAATTCTCCATGCTCTGCATAAATCAGTCCTGTGTGCAGGTGCTAAATACCTCAAGCACAACCTTTTGCTTTCTCCCAGATCTGTTACCTCTAATCATCCTCACCGGATTTGTTTACTTCAATCAAATCAACTCAATAGACTTTTCCCCAGAGAAAAATTGTTTGTAGATGGAAACAGATCATTCAGGCAGCGATTTGTGCTAATATGCACATCTTTGGTAATAGCATTCTATAAAACTTTGGGGAAATTTCAGGCTCACGTGTGGTTCATACGGTTCATGTTAAGCCTTGTTGCCTTGGAGCAAAAATTGTATGCTGCCAACTGAGTTGTGCACCTGCTGAACAGTAGCCAGGCAACAAAAACAGCAGTGCTGTCTGCAGCCTGGATCTGCAGCTTGCCTCAAAAAAGGACGAGGGATATTTTTGCAGTAGTTTGATTGCACCTTTGCATATAACGGAGTGTCACAATTGGTAAGTAGCAGGGGGTTTGATCCCTTTTATTTCCTACCACTCTATTTTACCTTTCAAAGCACTGTAATACTTGAGAACACTTTTAAAGGCAATCAGCTGATATTTCCCTTGTCCTCCTCAGGCGTGGAGAAACCATCTCTTACCTAAGGGACAACTTTGGTTACTTAGGAAATATATATATTTCTGAGCAGAAAACCAAACGCATAGCAGATAAGGAAAGCAATGCATTGTATTCAGTAAGGCTCAGTACTCCACCAGCTATCTAAACTGGTTATGGAATCACAGTAAATGCCAGGCACTTAGATATTCAGCATTTTTAATACACCAGTACATCAGAGAGACAATCTCAAAGTACAGCTGTTGCTTGGGATTTGTTGTTGTTGTTTTTAAAGATAGAAACTTTCTTTTCCCTGAAGAAAACCTATTAGATTGGAGTCAACAGCAAAACTGCTTGCTTCAGCTTGTTCCCTATCGCTAATGGATGGAGTTTCCACGTAATGGAACCAACACATTTATCAAAACAGATAGAACAAACTAGTAGCTATGTAATTATCTATCATTCATGATCAATAATAAGCTTCTCAAACAGTTACGTGCTTTCTAATTGAGCAATAAAACAGAAAGGATTTTAAATAATAGGATTTTAAATAGGCTCTGCAAAGCTTTAATTTTAACAACCAGTTTCCAGCAGTCACCTTTAAAGCCATCAGTGAAGGACCTGCCTGGTCAACTGCTGCATGTTCTCAGTTGTGTTTTGAATGCTAGGAAAATTTTAGGAAGCTAGAAAAAAACAAACACCTAACCCATCAGGATTTTTAATGGACCAATGAAATGATGCAAATGGGGAACTTAGCTGAATAACAACAATAAGAAATACCATGTGGTATGTAGTAATTGGGAAGGGTTGCATCATTAGCATTATCATCAGTAACATTGATTTGGACAATTTTGTGCAAATGTGACTCACCAGATGTGCTTTGCAATTATTGTGATGCTTACCTTAACGTCCTTTAAGCACGTACATAGCAGTTTCTGCAAAACAAGATATAAAAATAACGTAATGTGACTCCAAGCAATTCATTAAAGCATGCCTAACTTGTTGATTCTGTTCTCACCAATGAGAACTTTTGCTGCAAGATGTCCATAACAAGTATCTGCCATAAGGAGTAAAGTGTGGTACCTGATATTATTGTCATTGATTTGTAAAATACATGTAATGTCATAATAAAGTTTGTAGATGATGATGAGATCTGGTGGCATGATAAATGTCAACACTGGTCATATCTATCAACTTCATATACATAGCACTCCTATCTCTACACGATGACCTAATGCAGAGCTAATAATGTTATCAGAGAGGCAGGTTTAAGTTTCATTGCATTGCTCCTTGTGTTTTGCTTCACACGGTGCTTACTGAACTATTTTTCTATCTCTAGTCCCGACAGACACCAGAGGGGGAATTTCTGCCACTAGACCAGTGTGAGCTGGACGTTGGATTTGGAACTGGAGCTGACCAGCTGTTCTTAGTTTCTCCATTAACCATCTGTCATGAAATTAACTCAAAGAGCCCCTTTTTCTGTCTCTCACAAAGATCGCTAAGAAGTGAGCAATTTGAAATAGTTGTCATCCTTGAAGGAATTGTTGAGACTACAGGTAAGACATTGTAACATGGTAACACATGTGCTCTAATTGTAAGTCTTTGCAGTCTTGGCAGTTGTTGATCCTTGCATGTTCTGTAACGCCCTATCATAAAATACCAACCTTTGTTGGCCTCCACCATGCTAAAGGAGACCATAGAGCTCTGCACTACTGATGCAATACATTTAAGAAGAGACACTCTCTGCCAGTTCCTAGCTGGCCTCTGCAGGCATGCAGAGGACTACAGGATTCTTATGTGACTCTTGTCTTAAGCAGCATCCCTGGTCTACTCACTTGCTTGTGTTACAATGTCATCCTCTTGTCTCTGTCTCCACAGGAATGACATGCCAAGCTAGGACCTCATATACAGAAGATGAAGTTCTTTGGGGTCACAGATTCCTCCCAGTGATGTCCCTGGAAGACGGCTTTTTCCGTGTTGATTATTCTCAGTTTCATGCTACATTTGAAGTCCCCACTCCTCCTTACAGCGTCAAAGAGCAAGAAGAAAACCTGTCTCTGTCATCCTCTTGGAATAGTCCTGTTGACAACAAAACCAGAAAAGAAAAGTTTTGTTCACTTGACTGCATTGATATTGCAGAAGAAAAAAGCAAACTCCCTTTTAAACTTCAGAAGATTAGCTCAAGAAAGGAAGACCTTCCAAAGAGGGTCCTCAGAATGAGTTCCAGTAACACAGGGAAGACTTGCAGTACCGGGGATCTCCTGAATATTCAAGAAATGAGTTCTATCTCCAATGGTGAAGACGGTGATGACAGGATACAGCTGAAAGCCTTAAAAATGAATGCTGAGGCTTAGACTCAGTCCAGAAGATGCCTAAAAGTATGCGTGCTCTGAAGATAAAATTGGAAGATAATCTGCCTGCCAAACTTTGCAAAATAAACTCTGATCACCTCCCTTAAGAGCAGAAGCATATGAGTCATTGTTCACAACAGCATTCAAGACTGCTAACCTGAAGGAGTTTTCATATAGTAATGAAATAATTAGGTTTTCCTACTTTCTGGAAGGATGATTCCTTTTGTATAATTGTTCTGTACAGATCTAATTTACGTAGCCTAATAGAAATTTGAAAGGCAGTAAGGTTAGACTTTTGTGCCAAAGAGGTCCCTGCCCTGATGTCATTTAGCAGCATGCTCATTGCAAATCAACATTGTCTTCCATACTTGTAGATGCTTTTTCATGAAGCATGGACCAAATCCTTGGATGGATCATTCTCTGGAATGAATTGAACATTCTCTCAAAGCACTTTTGCTAATCATGGCAGTTTAGTTTCAGTTGTTGAAGATTTGAGATCATCCCTAGAATAGACAACCTTCTCTACAGAAATGACCAAAAAGATGTCAGTGAAGATTTGCACCTCATGTGTTGGCATTCAGTACCTCTTTAAAATGTTACACAGAGTTTTCTGTAGGACTGGCTTGAATGAGAGGAAAAAAACACTCTTCTGGTTTTAAAGCTGCTTGCCTTACTGAACGTCAGGATATGGTGAGAACTGGAATCCAATTCAATCCCAACACAAGAAGGATGCTGAGTTGTTGGAGTGGCTCCATGTGAAGATGACCAAAGGGCTGGAGCACCTCTCCTATGAAGAAAGGCTGAAGCAGCTGGGCTTGTTAAGGTTAGAGTAGGCTCCAGGAAGACTTTATCATGGCATTTCCACACTTGAAGAGAGCTTATAAACAGGAGGACTGACTTTTTACACAGTCTGATAGTGATAGGACAAGGACAGGTGGCTTTAAACTAAACGAGGGGAAATTTAGGTTGGATGAGAGGAGGAAATCCTTTGCACAGAGGGGGATGAGGCTCTGGCACTGCTGCCCAGAGAAGCACGGGTGCCCCATTCCTAGAGGTCCCCAAAGCCAGACTGGATGGGGCTCTGGGCAGCCTGATCTGCTGGGGGGCAGCCAGCCCACGGCACAAGGTTGGAGCCTGATGATCCTTAAGGTCTCTTCCAGCCCAATCATCCAATGATTCTTAACCACCCCGTGGTTCTACACTCCCAGCATAACCCTATTTCCATTCAGCCATTCTGCTGCCTTCCTCTATAGGTGAAAGCAGTCGTTTTCCTCTCAGCTGGCAGTGCGGGGGGACACAACCCAACCCCAAAGCTGCTCCATCCCACACTCAGCACAGCAGAGCACTCTGTGAGGGAACGAATCCCCTGCCCTCCATGGGCAGAGCAGGCTGAGATGGAGGGGTGACTGCAGCCCCACGCTGTCATTTTGCACAGGTGCAGCTGTTCGTGGTTGTTTTTCTTCCCCTTCCCCCTGACCTTCACCATTATATACGTGCTGAAATCTGTGCTTTTAAACGTACCACGCTGAGATATTTAGATCACCCGCAATGACTCACCCCACAACATCCAGAACCCATAGACAATAAAATCACGTTCACTTTGGCCCTCGAGCGTTCTTGTGAGTCAGTCTGCGCGGAGCCCCAGAGACGCAAAGGCACGAAAGACTTCACTTCTCCACAGAGCTCCGCGCCAGCGCTGCCCTCTGGTGCCCGGAGCGGGGCGAGGCAGCGGCCGCCCCTCAGCCTCAGAGCGCGCGGGTCCGCGCATGTGTGCTTCCCGTCTACCGCGGGACGCATGCGCAAAACCGCCGCTCGCCCCGCCCTCTGCCCCGCCCTGCTGCCGCGCAAGCGCGCTGCCGTCTCCCTGCATGGCACGCATGCGCATTGCTGCGCCCGAAAAGCCTCGCGCCAATTGGGCGAAGAACGCATGCGCAGGGAGGCTGCGCGCGTGCGCCGCGGCCCGACGCATGCGCACTGCTCCTTGCTGAGGCGCCCAGTAGGCCTTGGGTGGGCAGCTGCTCCCTCCAGAGACCCGGAGCCGCAGCGCTGCGAGGAGCGGGCGGCAGGAGCGATGTCACCGCCACTGACTGGGCCACACCTTTGCTGGGCCAAACTTGTCGGAATGTAACAGCGTACTGGGAGCTGTAGTCCTCCATCCAGGACCTGGGACATGTAGTCTTCCGGAAGCACTTCCGGTCAGCCATATTGGGCCGCGTTGCATGCTGGGGTTGGTAGTATTTAGCACCGCACTGCCTGGCAGCCATGATGGCCGTGGGGCACCCTGGGAGATGTAGTCTTCTCCTTTCACCAGCGCTGGCGTTTACCCAAAGGATGACTTCGCCCCAGGAGGTCTTTGTCTTGCTTCGCCTCATCGAATACCTTCCTAGCCGGCGACAAAGCCACTATAAACACCATGATACTCATACCTGTCAGTGTGAGGTTCACACAGGGCACAATTCAGGCTTTAAACTCAGGATTTGTGAGCATCCGTCTGGCCAGGATGGCTCCACACCATGCATCCATCGTGTGCACATCCCCTGCTGCAGACTATGCTGCTCTGTTCCTTTTCTTTCCCTCACCGTGCAAAACAAGCATTTCCCAAAGAGGGAAAACAACACGTGGAAATGGTGATAATTGGGAAAGGTCCCAGAAACCACAGTGCAAACCACAGCACTGGGGTGATCGCTGATGAACTGGCATCAATAATCCCCAAGGTCCTCCCTGAATCACAGCAGAGCCATCCGGATCCCCCAGGAGATCTGCTGGACCCCATTTATGGGACCCCATCCCCTCTCCCCTGGCTCAGGGCTGGTGACACCCATGGGACGAAGGCTCAGAGGCAGCTTTCAAAAATGGCAAGACTGGAAGAAAATGGGCCCTTTGTGCAGGGAACAGCCAGAGGGCACTTCAGGCAGGGTGACGCTAGCAGCACCAACTGATGTGCTGCTTTACAGTGCTGGGGACACAGCACGTTTCCCATTGTCCCTGATCCAACCTCAAAAGTCAGGGGGATGAAAGTAAGTCTGAATCCTCCCAGTGGGGATAGGGAATTACATCTCCGGAGCTGGGATGGAGGCTCTGTGTTGTGGAAGGTTAAAGCTCTGTGTTCTTCTGCGTATTTTGAAGCTGCAGTCTCCACGCTCAGCATCTCAAGCCCAGTGCAACTCAGTGGGAAAATCCATCCTCATTGCAAAAACACAGCCTGAAATGGCAGATAGATATAAAAACCATCCGGCATCATCAGCCCTGAGCCACGATCTGCGCATGGGACAGGATAGGATCTGAAAGCCATCACAGCACACAACAGCTGTGCTAAACCCCCACAGACCTCCTGCTCACTGCCGGAAAAGCAGCGTTTCCTCTCCGCAAAGCAGCCAGAAGCGTTTGACACCTCTTTACACCCCAGGGATTGATGTGAACGAGGCCAAGGAGCTTCGTACCGCAACAGCACGGGGCTCAATCCCACTAACAGGCAACAAAGGCAGCGTCCCCTTTTCCCAGGGCTGCAAGCTGTCACCTTCATTGGAGTCTTTAACGCTGCTGCAGCCATCCACTGTATTTTAGGGGAACATTCCTCCACAGGGCAAAACCTTAGTAAGCCAAGATGCCAGCCCAGACTGCAAGAAGCGGCTCATTGTCCTCCAGCGATGCAGCCGTGGTGATGTCAGGAACAAAAAGCCTCCTCTTGTGCAGCCTCCGAAGCGTCCCCCAGCCCTGAGTGCTCCCAGAAAAAAAATGTATGGCATGAGATGTGCAAACGCCGGAGAATTCAAGTGCCCATTGGCCAACAGCCCCAGGGTTGTGCATCTCAAGCTGCTACAGTCTTGCCCTAAAAGCCTTGCAGCCAAAAACCACTGAGCAGAAGGCATTTGTGCACGATGACATCTCTTCTGTTTCCTTTTTTTTTTTTCTCTCATTCTTTTTGCAATCGATGCATTCCCTGAACCACCTCCATTTCCACATGTGCGTTGCTGTTGTTGTTTCATGACATCCTTCAAATGAGAGGATCGCTTTCAGCAGAAATTCAATTTTTCCAACCCAAAATGTGCTTTTGGTTTGCACACAACAGGACAGGGCTCAGACTGCTACCGCATTCCTCCTGCCCAGACCCGTGCCCGAGCAGATCCAAGCCCCACACAGGGCATGTAACCCAGTTAATCTCAATGAGCATTTAAATCAAATTAGTTAAACTACATTAAACCCCTGTGAGGACACGGTTCAGAGTGGAAACAGCCTTAATGTGATTTCAGCTGACTTCCCTGCCACAATTTGCAAGTCAGAGAAATCGAGTTAAAGGCTGTTTTCATTCTGAACTCTGTCCACACAGGGCCTTAATGCAGTTTAATTAATCTGCTTTAAAATTGAGCCTGTCTTTCATTTGGGCAACTTCACCTGACTCACCCTGGGGAAGCAAACCCGCCTGGCACAGCTGTGCTGAGTCTGAGGCTGGAAAATCCTGGAGGGTTTGGAGAAAGCTGTGATTATAGCTAATCCCAACAGGCAATATTTTGGGGTAAAGCCACTTGTAGCAACCACCCATATGGCTGAAATTGGAAACGTTGAGCTTCCCAGAGTCCGGCAGAGCCGCGGGCACCGGGGCCAGGCTGGCTCTACTGGCCTGAATGCTGCTTGCTCTCGATGCTTATCGCTGCTTAACAAAGTTTCCTCCTCGGTGGCAGAGAACAGCAGGCTAAAAGCAGCTGCATTAATCCCTATGCTGCTCCCAGCGAGGCTGTAATGGCTGCTAATTGCCGGCCAGCAGCCCGAGGAAGCTGGGGCTGAGCAAGGGAACGCTTTGGCCCTCAAAACCAACAGCCCTGTTATGTTCCCCACGCCACCCAACCATTCCCCAGCTCCTTCCTCACACCATCCAGCCATTTCCCAGCTCCTCCCCCCCCGCCTCCCCAATTTAGCTGAGAAAAAACAGAAAAGGGGAAGGGATGGAGCCCCATCCACATCCCTTTCTATTCATTCCTTCTACCCCACAGGGCTGTGCTTTGGGGTCTGCTGCAGATCCTGACACTGGAACACAGGATGTGACCCTGAGCCTCCAGCAGAGCTCCCAGCAGCAGGTACCTGGCTCCCCAGCAGCACAGCGTGCTGCAAGCAGGGTTTACTCCATTGCTCAATTCCCATTTTCTCTGTAAAGGTAAAATGCATTCCCCATAAAGGAGTTCCAATTAAAAGGGAGTTAATGACTTAATGAATCAGAACAAAATCTGCTTGCATTAGCAGTGAACCACTGACCTTCTTCTCGTTGTGGCTATCAGCTTTTTAATTGGGTACGTTTTTATTTCCTTCCCTACAAATGGACTAGTGGCTGAGCATGTGCTCAGTGAGCAAAGGGAATCTGGGGGGGGAGGGAAGCAGGAAATGCCCAGCCTGAGGGACCCCCCCAGCACCCATCCCACAGCAGCACCTACCTGAAGCCTCAGCATAGCTTAGCTTCTGCTCTTTATCTCCTGTTGCTGAAAATTGCAGCACTGCTGACAAAGGCTTCTATGATACTCAGGGCTGTGCAAACCAAAAAATGAGGGTCGGACACTACCCCTATATACTTACAGCCCCAGGAAGGGCTGAACTCTCCTCCTCATTAGCTCATTAACTGCTCGTTAATTCCCTATCACGTGATGAAGAGGCTTTCCTCTTCCCAAAGCTTACCTGAAGATACACTCAGCCATTCATATCCTAAGCAGCACTACGTGTCATCCTTACCCCCAGTCTTGGGGGCTCCTCTCTGCTCTTTCCCCTCCCTTTTTTTCCTTTCTTTGGACATCTTCATCACTTCTCCCATCCATCTGCTGCCATCCCAGGGGTGCACCCACCCAAACACAGTGGTGGTCAATGCTGCACTGTGCTGCTATTCATGTTATATTCACTGCTGGCTGTGCTCTGCCCCGCACCTCATTGCAGAGGGGCTCTAAAAGGATTTCTATTTGTGTCCCTGCGGTACAGGAAGCACTGCAGGGAGCTGCCCTGTGTTAGCACAGGCATGAGGGTGGGCAAAGGGCTGGTGGAGAAGCCCTAGGTCCCCTTTTGGGGTCTATTTTTGGGTGGTGGGAGTGGCTTTGTTGGGGATGTAGGTGTGCTGGAAGAACAGGAGCAGTCCCTGATGTACTGAAAGCAAAACTAAGAAAGAAAATCTTTGTTTGGAGGAGACATAGCCAGGCTTTGAGGAGAGGTCTATGGTGCTGGGGTCCTCTCAGAGGGAAAGAACCCTCACCAGGAAGTGCTGATGCACTATGCATGGTCCTGAGCAATATGGGGACAGCTCTAAAGCAAAGCACTCAGTCCAGCCTTCTGCTTTCTCACCAGGACCACCACATTCCACCCACCGTGCAGAGCTGGAATCCTCCCGTGCTGGGCTCCCCCTGTACAGGGACAAACCCTGCCCTGTCTCTCTGTGCCAGTCCCTCACACAATAACACTTATTCTCACCCTGCTCTAGGCAGCTGCCCGCCCTGCCGTGCCCCCTGGCCCAGGAGCAGGTTGACATCTTGGGGAGGGGTGGGCATCCCAAAGCCCCCATCCCACCATCAGCAGCTGGGCAGAGCTGCCTGGACCCGCCGACTGTTTCCAGGGGAACTGCGAGGGGGTCAGGGAGAGGTCTGGGATGTTTTAGTCTTCCTGTAATATCCTTAATTGCTCATTTATTTAGTGCAATTAGTCCCAGGTGCTTGCTGTTGTCTGTGTGACCCCGGTCCCCCTGGGCTGTTCCCAGCGGCCGCATTGATCGCTTCCCGCTGCGACGACACGTGTGTGTGTGTGTGTGTGTGTGCAATCTGTGTGTGCTCTTTTTTCCCTTCTTCTTTGGTGCTGTCCCCCAGCTTTGCCATTGTCGCTTCATCCCCCAGAGCCTGCATCCCTCCAGAGGCACAGTACTGGAGCCCTGAAATGTTGCAGCCAGTTTTCTTCCCGGGGGATGCGGGGCAATAGGAGCATCTTCTGTGCATCCCCTTTGAGCACCCTACGGTCAGCACAGGGCTGGATCCATGCTGCAGCAGCCAGGAGGTGATGGGCACAAGGGCCACTCCTATCACTTGTCAGGAGTCCCTTGAGAAGAGCCTCCTCCTCTGTTCCCCCCCTTTTGTAGGAGGCAAAAATGCTATCGCTGAAGGAAACAATCCGACGCTTTGTGGAAATGGACGTGAAAAGAAACGTCCCCAAAATGCCGGCTGAGGTCAGGCTGGGCTGCCTTTGTCCTGCAGGCAGAGTGCTGGCGCCCGGGGGGGACCGCAGCAACCATGGGACTGTGAGTCACTGCCTGGTCCCCGAATGGCAGCGAGGCCCCGTGCTGGGGCTGGGAGTTGGATTTGATGATCTTTATGAGTCCCTTCCAACTGAGGGTATTCTATGATTCTGTGCTGCTGACACGACCCCAGGCTGGGGTTCTGCAGTGGCTCTTGGGTCGCACGTTGGCAGCGGTTATCTCAGCAACGTGCAGCAGAATTTTGGGGGCTGTTTTGAGGGATTCTCCAAAAGCAAAAAGTTTCAGCTTCACCTCCTGCCTTCACCTCTGTTCATGGCCACTACCGTCCCATCGCTGTGCCCAAGGGCGAGGTTGAGCCAAGGGGAGGATTTTGGCAGTTGCCATGTGAGTTCCAGCCAAACACCACCTGAACCCTTCCCTTTAACTCCACGAGCTTCTAAAAGGATTGGGGCTTTCTCTGCCAAATGCATTTCCACCAGTCCCCAGGCATTACTTCCCTGATGGCTCTGTCCCAGCATCTTCATTCCCCGGCACCGCTAACGACCAGGACCTCTCCGAGACCAACGCTTTCTGCTGCCTCTTTCTCCATACACCCAGATCTCAGTGCACTTTAATTGTCTGCCAATTGATTCCCCAAATTCCCCACTGACACACATCATGTTTAATTTGCAGATACTGGGAAAAAGGCAGCTCAGGGGCTGTTCCAACCCATCCTTAACTCATCTGCTCTTCCAGATCACAAAGCATAGGGCGAAAGATGCTGAGAAAGCCAATTATGAGCATTTTCATCCCATTCGGCTGAGCCCTCTAAAAGGCTCTTTGTCTGCCTGGGGCTGGGGGACATCCGCTGAGCAGCCCCCGGCTCTGTCCTTCAGCCCTGTGGCAGTTCATGTCCTTGAATCTTCCACTAGAAGCTGAGCTGGCCCCAAAGCAGGGAGGGATCTGGCCCCACGAGGGATCTGCAGAGCTCACATCAAGCTCCGGAGGCAGCACCCCCCCCATTGCTGCCCCTCTGTGCTCTCGTTTGCAGGATAATTCCTTGCACAGAGGATGCATCATGCGCAGTCCCCCCGTTTTTGCTTTGCTTTCTGCAGAGCTGAAAATCAGATCTGTGCACTTCATGGCAAACCTTGCCCCATGGCAGGGAGCCCCTGGCCCCCCAGCCCTGCCCCTTGGCAGCTTCTCAGGGGGGAGCCTTGGCAGCAGGGAGCAGAAATAATGAATCTGAGCATGAAACGGAGATGAAAAAAACACTTTGTCTAATGGCCGCGCATGGAGGAAGCTTTGAAGTTTATTGGAGCCAGACTTTCCAGGGCTGAATGGGTCCCAGGGGACGGTGTAAAGGGAGGCAGAGACCTGCACGGGTCTCGGGAGAGCCCAAATCTCTTAGATCCTCTGGAGACAGAGGCAGGAGATCAACGTCTGTGCTGGAGACGGGCATGGCAAGGGGAGGCTGCGGTGCTGGGGATGTGCTTGGGACACTGAGTGGGGGCTCAGCTGCTGCACAGCCCCCAGCAGAAGCATTTTGGCACGCAGCCCTCCATCATTGGAGCACTGCTTGGGGGAAGGAGGGCTGTTCGAGGAGCAGCTCGCACCCACCCATAGCCAAAATCCCTCAGAGCAAGAGTTGCAGGCGCTGGGAACCAGCCCGGCTGGGGTTCATTACCCCGCAATTAGCCCAGGGCTCTGCATTAGGGTCCGAGCTCAGTTTTCAAATTGCCGCTAATTGAGCAATCTGCCGGGCTAATGGCAGAGCCGAGCAGAGGAGCTGGCAGTGCAGAATCCATTGCTCGTGGTCCCGGACTTGGAGGAGCAGAGTCTTGCAGAGCTCGGGGCTGCTGTTCCCGATGCCTGGAATTGATTTGCAAAAGGGAAGGAAAACAGGGAGAAAGTATTCTTTTATTGCTCGGATGAAGGATTAATTATCCGTGAAGGTGCTTGGGATAGGTGACAGCATGGTGGGGAACAGAAACCCTTCACTCTAAAGCTGGGACGTGGTCACAGCTGTTCAGCACCTCTGCAGCAGAAGGGAAACCCTTAAATCATTGAATTCAATTAAGCTTCGTGCTCTCTGCCAGTAAAGCAGACTGATGGTGAGGACCTTTGCTCTCCCCCCCTTCCAAAGCTGATCCTTCATCCCAAGCAGGTGAGGTAGGCAGAGCCAGGGGGGAAAGAACCCACTGGATGGCCAAACCTCACCAGGAGGGCTGGGTGCTCCAGGGATGCAGTAGGCAGCATGAAGAGCCATCAGCATCCCAATGTCTCTACTCCATGCAAAGCCCCCCAGTGTGGGGTCACATCCCCAGGCAGTGGCTCGGAAGTCTGCACTGCAGCAGCTTTGCTCCCTGGGGCCTCAGAATGGAGGTTTTATGATGGTTAATAAATATTGAGCTTGTGGCCTTTCCCAGTGCTGCTTGACAGAGGGTTGGGCAGAGATGGGGATATTTGGGGGTCTGATTGAGATGGTGTGTTGGGGTCACCACCTCCTTCCTGCACACACCCCAATGCCCAGAGCTTGGTGAGAGCATGGATAGAGAAGGTGGCTGGGGTGAGCTGGGGCTGAGGTTGGGGTACCCCACGCCTTCCTTCTCATGTCTCTTCCCTTTTTTGTGTCCTTGCCACAAGCAGCTGCAGGGGAAGGGATGCTCTGTCTGGAAAAGCATGAAGCAAAGCTGCTGCTTTTACCCAAATCTCTGCCAGCCCTTAATATCTTTGGGAAACTCTGTTAGCAGCAGATTGCCCTAAACTCTGCAACATTATCCAGGGAGCGTGTGTTAATTCGCCGTGATGGAGAGCCCCAGTGTGCTGGGGCCGGCTCTGGTTACTCCAGGGACATGTTAATGGGAGAGTTTTTTTCCCAAGGTTTTCTGTTTTATGGCAGCTTTGCTGCCCTTGGAGCTTGTGAATGTGGAAGGGGTGAGGGCTGGTCCCTGTGTGGCACTGGGGATGCATGACCATGGGGTTGGAGCAGCCCAGGGATGTCTGCGTGGAGGGGAACGTGCCAGAGTTGCTTTGTATGGAGCAGATGGGGACTGGGGGGGGATGCACAGTTTTGTTTGTTGTTTTTTCTTTTCTTTTGTAAATTAAATTCAAAAGGGGAAAAAAAATAAAAGCAGGCTGCATGGTTTTGTTGAGTTTTGATGTTCCCAGGAGGTGCTGGCAGTATAGATTTCATAGGAGTTTCTCAGAGAGCATCAGCAGGGCTCAGTGCTGAGCCATGCAGCATCACATCCTAGCTGCCCCTCCCAAAAACCTGGGTGCTGTCAGGGTGCTGTCACCCACCCTGCATGGCATAGGCACTGCTGTCCTGTAGCAGAGTGCTGTCAGAGCCTGCC